CATGTTTCATGATAACCAATCCCAACAGACTCTGTGCATGGCCTACACAAACTGCCAGTCAATCCAATGCACCCCATTCACCCTTCACCAGCCCCCAAGACACATACCCTGATGCCCATAGGCTCTCATTACTGACCTCTAACATTGAGTCCACACATGTCTCTTCTCCTTCTCTGTCTCTTCATGACCTGCTCCAACACCCACAAGCTCCCCTCCTACTTTCTGATGTGCTGTGCTGGGGAGTTGCCAGGGAACAACCCCCCAGCTCCTCCATTGCACAGACTCAGTAGTACCTCTTAACCAACAATAGCAGCAGATCACACAATGAGCCTACAGGGACCCAATTCTGGTCAATCAATTCTTTGGGGGGAACAATATGGGGACTCATGTGGGGTGGACATTTTGGAAGGTGTTTCTAGAGAGAAGGCAGTCTCTTCATCTGGACAGCTGAGCTCTGAGAGCTCTCTCTCCAAGTGCCAGCCATAGTGCAAAGATCAATCCATCCTTGCCCTCTCAATATTTCTACATCTAATACATAAAAATACACAAGAATTGAAGGGTTGTAAAAGCTATTCTATGAAAACAATCAAAAGAAAGAGGAAATCAAGAGAAAAAAACAACTAATAGGACAGAGGAGCATTTCATGATGAATAAAGATTCTCACCAGGATAATCTAACAATTAACTACATGAGTTTGAAATACATAAAGCAAAAATAAATAGAATTACAAGAAGACATTTAAAACTCACATTTATAAAAAGAAACATTAATATACCTGCCTTATTCACTGCCTGAATAAGGTGACAAAAACTAAGAAGACTGACAAACATGTTACAATAAACAGTAAACATGACTTAAGGGTAATGAAAAGAGCTGGAACCCATCAAGAAAATTCTCATTCATTCTCACTCTCTCTCTCTTAATTTTTCAAGTACTTAACTTTTCAAGTACATGTCAATCTTGTAAGAAAATTCTTCATATATTTGGCCAAAAGATAAGTCTCCACTCGTTTCAAAAAACTGAAATAATACAGAGTATATTCTCCAGCTGTCATGCAATTAAGCTAACAGTCAGTAACAAAACTGCAAAATCCTCATATATTTAAAAATTATTAAATACATTAAATAACACATGGGTCAAAGAAGAACATACAATGGAAATTAGAAAATACTTTAAGCTCTGACCAGTGTGGCTCAGTTGATTGGATGCCATCTAGCAAAGCTAAAGGTCACCAGTTCAATTCTGGGTCAGGGCACAAGCCTGGATAGAAGGTTTGGTCCCCAATCAGGGCACATATGAAAGGCATCCAATTGATGATTCTTTCTCTCATCAACATTTCTTTCCCTCTCTTTCTCTCTCCCTTCCCCTCTCTCTAAAAATAAATAAAATAAAAGGAAAATACTTCCAACTGAATGTGACAGTGTACAGCAGTAGTACAATAATGTTGGTAAACCCAGAATTTCCTACACTGCTGGGGGAAGTAACAACTTCTTCAAACATTTTGAAAATTTCTTTGGCACTATTTCCAAGACATGAAAGCTGACTATTCCACTGTCACATGCATCGCCAACAGAATTGTGTATGTGTGTCATTGAAAATTATTCTATATTCATATACTAGGACTCGTCCTAACAGTCCCAATATGAAAACTTCCCATATGCCAATGAACAGAAAATGATTAAGTATTTTATATTCACACAAAAGAACTCTACAGAACAATGCAAGAATTCATTCCAACATGCAACAATAAATACAGCAAATAATGTAAGGAATGAAAACCGTGGAACACTAAAAGCTATTGCTCTATGACTGCCTTTATATGAAGTGCAAAACAGACCCCAGGGAGCTATGCTGTGAGATGTTGGAGCAGTGCTTATCCTGAGCAGTAGTGACAAGAAGAGAGCACAGGAGTCTTCTGATGGTCTGATAACATTCTATTTCCTGATTCAGGTACTGAGTGTAAGAATGTATCACTCTGTTAACTTTCATTTGGCTGAACTTATGACCTGTGTGTGCACTTCAAATTGTTCAAAAATATATCACCAATCAGATATATGGAATATGATGAATAGGTAAATGTTATAATATCCCTATGTTGTAAAGGTGAAGTTGAAGAGCATCATATGAAACAAGGGTATGGATACCATTTAAATGTATGCTAAAATATTTTGATAGAAACTAAAAAATAATGAGTATGTAACTTTCCAAGAAAATGAGTCAATCATACTTGATAATGATAGTGTGAAACTATAATATATAACAGTAATGTAGATTTATATTAAAAATCTTACAGGAGAGTTCTGGCCAAGACAGAGGCATAGGTAGAGACCCTTCACTTCCTTGCACAATAAAAAGGAGGATAACAACCAATTTGAAAACAATAAAAAACCAAAGTGCCAGAAAATCAAACTGCATGAAACTCCAACAACAAAGGAATTAAAGAAAAAATCAACCAGAACAACCAGACCAGAAAGGAGGTGGACCTCACAGGCCAACTCAGAAAAACCTCAGCAACCCGGCAGACCTTGGGGGCGCGGCTGGCTGCCCAGCTGGACACTCAGAGGTGGCTATGGGCTACAGAGGTTGAGGCGGTAGAAGCTCCCAGTTTCACCAGAAAAGTAGGCTAGAGACAAGCTGGTGAGCTGCACTGTTCCCTCTCTGACCACTCCACCACTGGCTGCCCTGCAGGGCAGCAAAGAGGGTTGCTCTGCCTGGGTGAATACCTAGACCCCACCCCCTTACAACCTATCAGCTGTGCCAAGACAAAGAAATATGGCCCAAATGAAAGAACAGAGTAAAGCTTCAAAAAGAGAGCTAAGCGATGAAGAGATAGCCAACCTATCTGATGTTGAATTTAAAGCCCTGGTAATAAAAATGCTTACAGAACCAATTGAGCTTGATCAACAAATGAAAAAACAAATGAAGGTTACCCAAAGTGAAATAAAGCAGAATGTTCAGGGAACCAATAGTGACAGGAAGGAAACCAGGACTCAAAGCAATGATTTGGAACAAAAGGAAAAAAATAAACATCCATCCAGAAAAAAAATGAAGAAACAAGAATTTGAAAAAGTGAACAGACTCTGATAAACCTTTGGGACAACCTGAAACATTCCAATACCCCAATTATAGGAATGCCAGGAGGAGAAGAACAACAGCAAGAAATTGAAAACTTATTTGAACAAATAATGAAGGAAAATTTCCTCAATCTGGTGAAGGAAATAGACTTCCTGAAAGTACAGGAAACCCAGAGAGTCCCAAAGAAGTTGGACTCAAAGAGGAAGACACCAAGACACATCACCATTAAGTTACCCAAAATTAAAAACAAAGAGAAAATCTTAAAAGCAGCAAGAGGAAAGGAAAGAGTTACCTATAAAACGTGTTCATAAGGCTATCAGCTGATTTCTCAAAAGAAACCTTGCAGGCAAAAGGGAACTGGAAAGAAGTATTTCAAGCCATAAAAAGCAAGGACATACATCCAAGATTACTTTATCCAGCAAAGCTCTCATTTAGAATGGAAGGGCAGATAAAGTGCATCCCAGATAAGGTCGAGATAAAAAAGTTCATCATCACCAAGCCCTTATTATATGAAATGTTAAAGAGACTTATCTAAGAAAAAAGAAGATCAAAAGTATAAACAGTAAAATGACAACAAATTCACAACTATCAACAAATGGATCTAAAAAAAAAAAGAAACAAAAACAAATTAAACAAACAACCAGAGGAACAGAATCAGAGAAATGGACATCACATGGAGGGTTTTCAGTGGGGAGGGGGGGGAAGGTACAGGGAAAAAGCATAATTGGTAGGCATTAAATAGATGGAGAGAGGTCAGAAATGGTATAGGAAACAGAGAACTCAGAGAACTTAAATGTACAACCCATGTACGTGAACTAAGGGGGAAGAATGTGAGAGGGTTGAGGGGGTGCAGGGTGGAGGGGGGATAAAGGAAGAAATATTGGGAAGCTGTAATAGCATAATCAATAAAATATACTTTAAAATATATATATATACTCATTAGTTGAAATAATTCATTTCTTTCTCAAATTGTGAATTATCAACACTTTGCATCAGTTTAAGAATGTAAATAAATAAATAAGTAAAAACCTATATAAAAACCTGTCAGGCAATTGAGAAAATACCCACTTTGCTTTTTGGAAATCAAGAAGCCACACATTCCACATATCTGTTTTTCCTTTCAAATGGCCCTCATTGCACTGTTCCAAATTTAACAAAAGCCCCCACCATGAACTAATGTAATGACTTTAGAGACAAGTTTGCACCACCAGACCTCCTTCTGCCAACATACCCAGAGCACCTTCACAAAGAAAACATCTGTCTCCTGTGGATCCAATTCCATGCAATTCATGTCTTTTAAAATTGTCACTCACCTCACCCTGGCTGGTGTGGCTCAGTGGATTGAGTGCCAGCCTGCAAACCAAAGGGTCACTGGTTCGAATTCCATCAGGGCACATACCTGGGTTGTTTGGCCAGGTCCCCAGTAGGGGGCGCACAAGAGGCAACCACATATTGATGTTTCTCTCCCTCTTTCTCCCTCCCTTCCTAGAAATAAATTTGTTTGTTTGTTTGTTTGTTTGTTTATTGCTTGCTTGCTTGATGTGGTTAAAACATCAGCTACAATGTAATTTCATGCTCTCCTTTGTCCCTGTTCAGATCAATCTGGTCATTTTCTACATAAAAGTTATTTACAAGCTCATCCATTTATAATATCATTATTTCTAATAATGCCCACCACCTCTCCAGAGGTATCATGTACAAGAGCATAACTAGCTTTCCACAACCTTTCTCACAGACTGAATTTACTTCTGGCACCTATGGCTTCAGCTTCAGCAGAGACCTGCCACCTGCTGATTTTTTTTTCATGTATTTTGCTTAAATTTCTTGCCTAGTTCTCTCCTGGAATATTCCATTTGATAGATTTAACATACATGCAATCTAACTGACTTACAATTTAAGCTTCATAGTTTTAAAATGTATAAAATTTACATATTTCTCATAAAAGTAGGGAATTTTGCATTTTTAATCCAGGCAAAGCTGAGCCTGGAGACACTGGAGTCACGGCTCATGATCAGAAAGGGACTGACAGTTGGGAAACTCAGAGTGATTAATATATAGATGTTGTAGAGAAGCAAGCTGGGATTGCTTAAAATGGCAAAAACAATATGAAAGATGAAAGAAGAGGTGTTCAAAAAGACAAAGGTGCTCACCAGGAGAAGAATGGTTTTGGTAGCTCTGGACTCGGGGGAGGATTGGGAGGAGACAGGGGTCCTGTGAATGTGCTGGATCCTCAGTTTGTGTCTGTGCAGGATGAAGACCATGGAGCCGCTGGCCCAGAGCATGAGCACGAAACATAAAAAATCAGGGGATGCTACCAACACTGCATATAATGTGTTCATTGTTTCATTAAGATAAATGTAGGAACAGAATCCCAACTTTTTTCTGTTTCTGAATTTTTCATTGCTCAAAGTACTAGACATATGCATAGGAAAAATGACATTTACCAGCATTTGCAGGATCCAGTACAGGAAAATAGAAGCAACAATGTACTTGGGAGCCTTTCTTTTAAGCCCTGCCCACCTGGAGTTCATGGGGCTGATGGTAATGGCCTGGAAGACGCTCAGGAGGCAGGTGGTGCCAATGGACACAGCCCTGCCCACTCCACGCAAATAGGAAACAAATCTGCATCCAAAACCACTGAGATGGTCATATGATCCAAAAGATACCTTGGTAAAGCTGATTCCACTAGAGAACAGAACCAAGGAATTGGCCATGATCAGGCTGTTGACAATCAAATCTGTGGGCCTCAGCCTGTACCCAGTGAAATAAAGGAAGAGATAATGATAAAGCAGAGAGAAATTCCCCAGGACTCCAAGTATTGTCTGTAGTAAGGAGATCAGTCCTACTGCCAAATCCATGACGGACCCACTGTCTGTTCTCAGTGACTGGTTTCTGTCTTCTGAACAAGAGGACCCTGCATGAGAATAGGAGGCATAAGGCACACATATCATGTCTGTTGAACACACTTAATTGTCTCCACTTACCAACAATTGAAATACTGAGTTAAACTTTTTATGCCATTTAGAGGCTTCCAAGTGAATGTGTAACCATTTAAGAACACTTACAATAGCATACTCACTGCTACAAAGGTTGCACGCAAAATAACTTTGTTATCCCTCACAAGTTCAAGAGGTAGTCACTACTGCATTTCTTATAAACGTGAGGACCACATATGCATAGAGAGGTTAAAGGTTTCATCCGAGATCACACACTGGTTAGGGGCACAGCGAGGATTTGATCCTGGCTGTGCTGCTAACAAAACAATGAATTTAACCCATAATATATTAACATACTTGTTACCTGTGTTCTTCAGAGAAACCAACTATTCTTAAGCTCTGTCATTCTGAATCCCATTGGTGGTATTTTACTTTAATTTTTTGGCAATGCCAGTGTCCACTTATTTTCATTATGAAGACTTAATCTATAGGCAACTATAAACTTTGAATAAAGCTTTAGAGATCTTCATAGAATGCAGATGCACTGACTGCAGAATAAACTGCAGGTACCTGTCCCCCACAAGTTGGGTGTGATGAACGCAGGAATGGTGCAATATTAGGAGAGCAACAGACTCATTTGCTTCATTCCAAGAAAAATAAATTCAATTACACAAGTAACAAGAACTATAGAACAAGGAGCATATATCTAATAAACAGCATATATAAAAATAAAGTTGTTATTAATTTCAGATCATATATACATCTATTAATAACTGAGTAAAATAAGATTCTTAGCAATAAGGCAAAATTTGTATAAAACACATGAACATATAAGGAACATACAAAATGTAATGTTAAGGTAAAATACTTCTGTATGGTGTAAAGGACATATCATGTAAATGACCCATGTGTAAATGGCATGTATTACATGCATACATGTGTGTGATTTACAATGTATTGTGTATTGGTATTATAATATTTAAAATCAGCAGAATATCAAATTATATATTTCAGCCTGAAATTTTTAAAGTTACATTTTTTAAATGCTGCCTCTTTTGATAGGGAATGTGTCACCATACTAAAAATATGCACAATTATTAAATATGTTTAGCAAATAATATACCCAGAGTCAGAGGATACATTTCTATTTTGGCAACTGCTGTCAGACACACTTTGCTATAGATGTACAAACATGCAGGTACTATGCTCTAGAAACCTAAAAATTACATCTATGTTTCCTGTAAAATCGACTAAATAGAGATCAACTCTAAAACTCCAGCCCTTAAGCACATTAAAAATCAGGTTCATGATCACTGGATTGAACAACCACAACTGAGAGTGAGGACAACACTACATCACATCAGAAGCCATCAGAGATTGGAGCAGCTCTATGACCCAACTGTCTTTACCAACTCAGCTCAAGCCTCATGAATTCCTCCCTCTTTCCCCTACCCTTGGGCTTTGGTGCTGGCCCAGGTTCACCCACACAAGATCCCTTTGTGCAGTATGTTCACTTACCCACACTCCTGATATACCTTCCCTTACAGTTTCTACCTCTCAGGTTGATAAAGAGAAAACCCACTGACTTCTTCCTGCTGCCTGGACACTGGCTCATTGTGAAGTCAGCACTATCAGTACAGGTAACAGAGAGGCAGCCAGACCCTGAGATATAGGTTGTGACTCAGTGACCTCATCTCCCCTCTGAGCTGCAATTATCACTTCACCAGTACCAGCATTGGCACTGACAGGCTTGGGAGCTGAGAGTATTTATGAACAGTTTCTTTCCAGTAGCTAATTACCAAGAACAACTCCAAGTTTTCACCAGCATCTCTTAGGAGACTATTGGGGTGTTTGTGAGAGGCTCTTTCTTTCCATGATCCCTGGAGCAGACAGGATTTTCCATGGAGTACAGATAGCAGGGAGTTCTGATGTCTGACCCCTGAGGGGTAGGGTGAGTCTGGTGTTTCACTGGACAATTGCTTCATCGGGAAGTTTTAACCAAAGAGTTTTTTCCAAATCTCCTTACAAATGAGCTGCAGCATCATTGATATATGGAACAAAGAAAATAGAATGATTCAAAATATGTTAGAGGGATTTAGAATGGGGATAAGTAACAGGAATACTATGTTGTCATAATGTGCATTACATATCATTGAACCCACTGGCTCAAGTCCATATCTCCTCATATGGAATCTGTAGGAGAGAAAGAATCCAAGATGGCTTCAGAGTAAGTGAAAGCTACACACACCTTTTTCTGGTGCCAAACCAGATTTATAGTTAAAATAAAGACCAATCAACCTGAATGACCAAATAATAAAAAATTGAACAGAAGTATTATGTCTAAGGATCTAATGAAGAAGCTACACAGAGCTTGGTAGGAAGGGCAAAGACATGTGGAGGACTCGTCCCTGCAGGCAGATGTGGTGGCTGAGAAGTTGGAGGGAGACTTCAGCTGCAAAGTCCCCCTTCAGGGGAGTGGGGTCTCAACCCCTCACCAGTACCCCAAACCAGAGCACCAGGGCCGGGAAGAGGAGCCTGCATAGCTCTGCCAGCAAAATTCAGCGGGGACTCTGTCCACTGGAAAGAGGAAGGAGTCTGCTAGAATCCCAGGCGCTCTCCTAAAGGGCCAGTGAACAGGAGCTCACTCTGAGTACTCACAAGGGCTCTGGTAGGAGGAAGGAGACTCAGGGCACACAGAAACCATAAAGAGAATATATGGGTGGCATGCTCTGGATAGAGATCAAGGGTTGACTACTAAAGTTAAGGTCCCATTCATGAGGCAACATCCCACACTGCCCTCAGGCGCCACCTTCCAGAGCAGACCACTCCTATTCTTACAGCACCAGCTGGGGGAAGTGCACTAACCCAGCACTCCAAATACTGATGACACCACCCTGCCAAATTCAAGTCCAGCAGAAAGGACTGTCAGCTATACCCAACAGAGACTTGAGGTGTGCTTTTTTTCTGGAGAAACTATAGGCAAAATCTCAATGTTCAGTGAACTGAGTGGCTTTAGAACAGGGGCTAGTCTTTTACCCTGACTATGGATAAGGCAGGCTTCCTTGGGGAGCCTTCCCCAAGGAAGACTCCCTTGTCAGCATCTCTGGCATTGTGCAGCTGCGAGGTAGGGGCAAGCATACAGCTTGCTTCCCTCCTGCTGGCCTGAGCTACCCCTATTGTAGGGCTACCTTGATGTGTCTTTATGAGCTTCCCTGACCCCATCCTGCTGGGCTCATGTTCACAGGAGAATAGCAACTCCACTCAAAGCTGGGACATTCAGAGTTTATCTAAAGCAGAGGCTCCAGTCCGGGACTCAAGCAGCCATGACTACAAAGCTAATGGGAGAAGTGCAGTTTTCTCCCTACATGTGGCCCAGCCAGTACTACCTGCAATGGAAGGCTTTCTTGATCTATTTTCCCAAGTTCTGGTAACCCCATCCTGCCAAGCTTGCTCCTGCAGTGGGGACAGCTGACTAAGCCTAACCTGAACCTGTGGTACACTCATCCTGAGGAAGCCAGAGTTAGAGATTCCAGCAGAGACTGATGGTGTGGCTCTGGAATAAGAGTCACATTCTTCCATTGAGTGCCTGACCAGGCTGCCCCAAGGTAGGGGACCCACTGACCACATCCTTCCAAACTGTTTGCCCTGCCCTACCAAGCTTGAGCCCTATGGAAGGGTGGTGGGATGCAGCCAGCTTGGGCCCACTCTACAGTCTTTCTTCATAAGGCTCTGGAGGAAGTCTAGGCAATATTAGCAGGGAGCGGGGTGACAAAGTAGCTGACAGGTGGGAACGGATTTTTACTCACCTGCCTCCAGCTCAGAGTGCCAGGAAGCAGTCCTGGTACACAGCCTGCCCTCTCCCCCACACACCCTCAGGCCCAGTAGACACAGACACAAACAGTGATTGGCGTGGTAGCTCCACACAGGTAGCCCAAAGCCAGTTACACAGAACATCTGACATCGACCTGCACTGAATCCCCAGCCAAAGGGGCCCAAAACCAACACAACCAGTGGTGCGCTTCAAACCACACCAGAGTACAACCCAGCTAGCCACATAAATGGCACAGCCAAAGGCAGACACATGCAGACACCAGACCCTGCCAGGAACAACTCTGCTTTGGGGAACAACCCCTGAACACTGGCTCACACACAATGAATGAAGTCTATCCTTATAGTCAGCCAGCACTCAAGGGTTAACTCTACCCACAAACAGGCCAACAGCACTCAAGATTCAACTACAAGAGGGCACATAATTCACAAAAGAAACACTTCAGGTGATCTAGAAGATTGCGCCACTGAGACCTACGAGACACATCAGCAAGACCTCATGACAAGCTTGAGAGTCATAGGAGATCTACCTAATACACAGAGACAAACAGGAAAATGCAGTCAGAATGGGGAGACAAAGAAATATGCCCAAATGGAAGAACAAGGAAAATCCCCAGAAAAGGAAAGAGGTGAAATGGAAGCAACCAAAATACCAGATACAGAGTTTAAAACAATGATTATAAGGATGCTCAAGGACCTTAGGGAAAAGAATGGTTGATGTCAGTGAGAATTTAAACTAAGAGAGAGTAATCAGTAAAAAGGACAGCTAAACCATAAAAAAGAACCAGCCAGAAATGAAGACTACATGAAAAGGAATCAACATCAGGTTAGATGAAACTAAGGATTGAGTCAGTGATTTGGAAGGCAAGGTAACAGTAAGCATCCAAGGAAAGCATTAAAAAGAAAAGATAATTTTAAAAAATGAAGAAAGTCTAAGGGACACCTGAGACAACATCAAGCATAACAACATCCACATCATAGTAGTACCAGAGGAAAAAAAGAGTGAGCAAAGGATACAGAACCTATTTGAAGAAATATGGCTGAAAAATTCCCTAACTTGGTAAAGAAAAAAGTCACACAAGTTCAGGAAGCACAGAGAGTCCCAATCAAGAAGAACCCAAAGGGAACCATACCAAGGCACATAATAATTAAGATGCCAAAGGTTAAAAACAAAGAGAGAATCTTAA